CTGTCCATCAGGTCACAGGCTGAAGGTACCTCCTTGTGGGCGTGGCCTTCTCAGAGGAGGATCCTGGGAACCTCTCCCTCCCCCTCTACCTTCACTTTCCTGCTGACGGATCCTGGTTGCTGAGAACCCTGTGATGATGCTTCTGCTGCCATTGGAAACACATGACTTTGCCCCCACTGGCCTGTGATCTTCCTGTGTTCTACATCATTGCTTGTGACTCCATGAGTCTGAAGAAAGCCTTATGGACTAGCATCAGGCTTAGGAACTTGAGTTGTACTGGGCTGGGATGTTTTCCTGTATAGAATTACTTCTTGATATAATTCTTACACATATATTTATGTCACTGGATTTGTTTCTCTAGGCAAGGGGACCTCAAACTTTTAAAATAGGGGCCAGTTCACTGTCCCTCAGACACATTGGAGGGCTGGACTATAGTTTAAAAAAAACTATAAACAAATTCCTATGGACACTATACATATCTTATTTTGAAGTAAAAAACCAAATGGGGCAAAAACACCTGGCGGGCTGGATAAATGTTCTTGGTGGGCCACATGTGGCCCACGGGCCATAGTTTGAGGCCGCCTGCTCTAGGCAATCCAGCCTAACACAATTCCCTTTCCCCAGTTCCGACTGGACCATTCAAGGAAAATGCAATGTTTCCTGAACAGACAATACTGTGCATTGTCAGTTAGGAACCCAGAGAGAGAGAAGCCTCTGATCTACTATAGCACCTGCTCACACTCAATCTGCTCCCCCGCCACAGGGAGCCTAATCTCATAGGCACCTTGTGATGTAAATCTTTTCTAGGGAAGAAAATCCATCTATCTTTACTGCCCCGGAATGCAAACAAATCTCAGCAAATGCGCTGGTAATGCTTAGGCATGAAGAAACATCACCAATCCACAAAGATTTGTTTCCTAAGAGTTCAGAGAAAATTGTTGGACAGTGGTAAAAATAACCACTAGAGTAAGAAAAACAATAATCATAGCGACACGCTATGTAAGCCCTTTGTCTTATTCCAGATGGGGCTCCAGAAGATTTCTGGAAAGATGGACATGATTCTGTCCCTCGCAGAGGAAGACAGTTTTGCTTTGGAAGCGCGGGATACTCCTCTGCAGGCACATCGCTAGCTGGCGCTGCCAATGGATGAGAGTCATGCCGGAGCAATTCAGCCAGCACCATGTGTGCACGGCACTGCCCAAGAGGAGTGGGAAGTGAGTCAGTCACAAGATGTAAGACTTAAGCATGTCGTCAATGCAGGTACAATGTTCGCACCATGTTGGTCTTTACACGATAGAACCAAACCCACAGCCTTTGAACAGATTCAGACTCATCAGGACCCTGCATAAGACTACGGAGGTTTTGTAAGTCTTTCTGGGGACAAGACAGCCTCATCTTTTTCCCCGGAGCGGCTAGAGAGTTTGACCCACTGACCTTACCGTTAGAAGCTTACCTGACTGCGTCATCAGGTATCCCTATAGTGCAACAAATATTGCTTCCCAGATCTGTATTCAGTAGCCCCGGTAGTGCAGTGGGTTATGCAATGAGCTGCTAAGCACGAGGTGAGCAGTTCTCATCCGCCAGTCCCTGCTCAGGAAAAAATGTGGTCACCTGCCCCCACAAAGCCTCCGCAATCCAAAGGGGGCAGCTAGTGCTCTTCCGCCCCACAGACTCACGATGACCCTACGTCAATGTACGCTGACTTGATGGCCGTGGTGGGAGGGATGGCTATTCTATGGGGGAAAAGCATTTTACAATCTTTAGAATATCATTTTGATCACTGATCACTAATGCTAGATTTGCCTGTTTCTGAACTTTACGGGAGCTGAACTCACATAGTAGGTTTGCTTTCAGTCTAGTTTTCACTCTTAACGGTAGGTATGCTTTTAACCACATTCATATGCAGAGCAGTGGCTTGTTCATTTTCATATGTCTATGCCATTTTTCCCCTGTTCATTCTGGCTTGCTGTTTCTAGCTTTAGGCTACTATAAATAATTTATGTCTTTTAATGCACAAGTATGTGTATTTTGTTTGTTTGTTTTTGTTTGTGGAATACAATTCCTAGGATTTAGACATAGTGGAATTTGGTAGCTATTCCCCAAACGTAACCGTGTTTTTGATGAGTAAGATGGCTAAAAACCAAAAGCCATGGCCGTTAAGTGTTAAGGAATCAGTTTTGCCAAATTTAAATCCTGGCTCCACTCAGTATTAGATACACATTTATGATGAGTACCAAAATAAGTTTACTTTTCATGTAAATAATAATGAGGGTGATTTCCGTATCTTTGCTATTGTGAATATGCTGCAATGAACATGGATATGCATACATTTGTTTATGCCATGGCTCTTATTTCTCTAGGATATACACCTAGAAGTGGGATTGCTAGACCATACAGTATTTCTAGACTTTTGAGGAAAATGACATACAATTTTCCATAGTTTGTTACATGGTTTTTCAACAGCATATATGGGAGAAAGACAGGCTTTCTATTCCCATAAACAGTCACGGGCTCCTCGGAAACCCACAGCAGCAGTTCTACCCTGTCCTCCCAAGGCCACCCTGCGTCAGCATCTACTCGGCGGCCCTGACTTTGGTTTGGATAACGAATTATAAGAGCTCTAATCTCCGGGACAACTTTGCCAGCATTTGTTGTTCATGGCTTTTGTTGTTGTTCTGGTAAGTGTCATTTTTATAGGGCTGAGAGAAGGTCTCCCATTGTAGTTTTGATTTGCATCTCTCTGATGGCTGATAAACATGATCATCTCTTAAAAAATAAAAATTTTGCTGATTAAAAAAATATCATATTCTAAACAAACTTAAACAACAACGCATAGACACATGATCACAAACTTAGAGAGCTGGATGCCCCGAGGATTCTGTAGCCATTGAGAGGTTGCCCTGCGAGGGCAGGCTGCAGCTGGAGAAGGGCTCAGCTTCCCAGCGCCTCTGGGCTCTGTCCCCTCGCTGCTTGGTTTAAGCTTGCACTGACTGGCTGTCACTTCTAGAGCTGTGGTAGAATGACTGCCATTGGAGCAAAAGTTGAAGACTGCTTTCAAAATCAAGTCCTCTCCTCCAATCAACAGCAATGATACTAGATGAAATTACGTTTTGATTGATTTTTTTGTTCTTGTGAGTTAACAAAGACAGAATTTTATCATGACCAGGAAGGACAAAAGTTTGCCAGAAGAAAATGGATCCAAAGATCTTTAATATGACCATAATCTATGCCCCTAATTCTCAAGGAAGGAAAACTGGGTTTTATTGAAGTACTGGGCATCTTCTTTAGTTTTTACCTTCTAAAATACAGCCAGCCACAGGCTTGCTTTTTCCTTCCCTCTCCCATGGGCTTGCAGTCCTTCACTACTAACCCTCCCAGTTCTGTCACAACCATAAACACACCCCACGCCCTCTGTCAGCATTTGGATTTTGCCCTGTCAATCGAAACAGACTGTGACTGAATGGCTGCTCCTAGCAGCTACCATTTACTTCTACCAAAGCACATAACTGGATTAGTGGGGAAACAGCTGTACAACTCCTCTAAGCTTCCCGTAACAGCAGGCTTCCGTTGTGCAACAAAGCACAGCTCTGGAGAGTAGAAATACAGGGAAAGGATGAAGCCTTAGTGCTGACGTCTTCTATAGGATTTAAGCATAAAACTACTACTCTTGAAAAAATAAGACACTTTGAAATATAAACCTAAACATGAGAGCCGCCCCCCCAGCCCCTCCCTGACAGTTCTGAAAAGCTTTGGAAGTGTGTTGAGTAGATGGCATCTGACTCTTGATATGACGAGTGTGAGTTTAGAGATAAGGACGAAGGCACAAGCACCGGGGCTTTGTGGGGACAGAACTGCAGAGGTACTTCTAGGGTTCCTCAGAGGCTTATTACTATGAATCCTGGCAGCTGCAAAAGCTTAAAGTTACATTAAAGCATGCTTAGATTTCTAGCTTTGTAGAGAGAGGGGAAAAAAAACTAAACGGAACAAAAAATCTTGTGGCCATCGAGTCAGTGCCATCTCATAGTGACCCTAGAGAGCAGGTTAGAATGCCCCTGTGTGCTCCTTATATTGTAGCTGTTACGGGAGTAGAAAGTATCGCCTTTCTCCCAGCAAGCGGCTGGTGGTTTTGAAATGCTGACCTTGCAGATCACAGCCTGACCTTTCCCTGCCTGGATTAGGAGAAGATTCTGTTAGGATTCCCCTGTGAGTAATTGCAAAACCTTTTTCCTGGAGTGCCATCCTGCTATGTATTAAAGGGGCCCTCAGACAGGCAGGAGGAAGGATCTCATAGTTGGCAGTGCCAGGAGTGGAGCTAGTCCTCTCTACCTGAGATTCCTGACCAGTGAACCTCCTGGATCCAGCTGACAGGTACATCAGTGGAGCAGCAGCAGACCCAGAAGCCAGAGCAGGGAGCAGAGATGGACTTTCAAAACCCACGGAGCAAGTGAAGTGCTTGTGCAGGAGGCTGGCTTTCAGAGCGGGATGCCTCCAGGCACTGAATTGACGGAGTTGGCTCTGTGTCCCCCTGCGCTTAAACGGAATGTGTGAGGGTTGAGGCTTGTAGCAGAGTGCTGTGCTCTCTGGGCAGGTACAGACTTTATAACTTGTCTTGTTTAATGTACGATTTAAGTGCGTTTATTTTATTTTTTTAATCGTTTTATTAAGGGCTCATACAACTCATCACAATCTATACATACATCAATTGTGCAAAGCACATTTCTACATTCATCGCCCTCATCATTCTCAAAACATTTGCTCTCCACTTAAGCCCCTGGCATGAGCTCCTCATTTATTCCCCGCCCTCCCTGCTTCCCCTCCCTCATGAACCCTTGATAATTTATAAATTATTATTTTGTCATATCTTGCCCTGTCCGACGTCTCCCTTCACCCACTCGTCTTGCTAAACAACTCAATCCTGAATATTTCTCACTGACATTAAGGCTTGTTAACTTTCTTTATAAACCCTTTATTCATGACTTTTGTCTGTGAGTTCTGTGTAGCCATCGTAATGAATACTAGAACCTAAATCAGTGCAACAGCCTTGCTTTAGGATGTTTTTTTTGTTGTTGTTGTTTTTTTAATTAGCAATAATTGCGCCTCGGGTACACCTCATTGCCTATGATATTGCCACTGCTCAAAGCTAGGATGTTGTTTTTAAAGATGCAATCTATGCTTTGCTTTGAGCCCCAATGTTATTATAGTGTTCTACTGGAGCCAAAAATATATTCAATTTTTGTCTAGAGTTGTAGCCTACTGTCATCACAAAATTGCCTACAGTTTTTTTTAACTAAATTTCATTTTTCGTGATTTATTTACTTCAGTGATCAATGCTTACTAGCTACAGATAGAAAGTCTAAGAAGGTTCTTGAGAAATAAAACTTTAGTAAAGAGAACATCACAGTGTCTATTGTTTCTTGTGTCACTAAGTATAATATACTTTAATGTCATATATGTACTATGTACTATCATCCTACCAAATTGCTTTTCATTTAGAGTATAATAGTATCGATGAGTGGCAGGTCTCCTGCTACCTGTTTAAGCTTCCCTAAATGCATGGAGATTGTGAGGAAAGCTCTTCTTTCTTATTCATGACTTTCATTACTCCACCCAGCGCTACATCCTGTGGAATTCAGTTAAGAGCCTGATGTGGAAGTGCACAGGAGTCAGTAAGGGAGACAGAAGCGCTCCTCAACATAGTCCACACCGTCAAACGCTCACTGACACTGCTTGTCAATTCCGACTCGGCAGCCCTGTAGGAAAGGGAAGGACGCCCCAGGGGGTTTCCAGCTCTTTCAGGGGTGCACACCTTGTCTTTCCCCTGCGGAACAGCTGGTGGGTTTGAACTGGTAACCTTGTAAGTAGCAGCCCAATATGTAAATATCTGAGCCGGTGAGTAATAGACAGCTACCAAGTATTGAAAGCAGGAGACGAGAACTTTCTGATTTATTGCAGGCCAATGCAGCCGTCTCGTACTCACGGAAGCCACGTTCACGAAATCATCGTCCGACAGGGTCTCCAGCATCTCTGAGACGGAGGTGCGGATCAGTTTCAGAGTCAGGCCGCTGACACTGCCACTCCTGCAAAGAGATAACCGGGCCACGTAGTTTACCACAGATCAGATGCACGACACCACCCACCAGAAGGAAAGGTAACTTGTGCACTGGCTCCAGATAATTTATATGATATCCACATAATTTGGTATTTAAAAACCATATTAGAAAAACCCAGATATTTTGGTAACATCGAAATCATGAGAAAGTTTTCCTTTTATTCCTACTACTATTAGTATTCTTAGCTAAAATGTTCAACATTATATTTCACATGACCATTTTAAGAAAATGTGGATCCCTAACCCCCAGCATAGCAATCAGATGCAGGGTTTCTGAGATCGCAAGTCCAATGGGAACAGACAGACTCATCTTTCTCTCTGATTAAAGGGTTTATTAAGGAAGTGAACAAGCTGCAACGCCAGTGAGACATTTTCAGGGTTGAGCTGTTCATCAAGACAGGTTACAAAGTCTATTAAATTGTCTGACCAATGCCCAGAGAGCAGACCCTACCTGCTCTGCTTCAAGTCTCAACCCTCAGACATTCCCAGCAATGCTTATTCTACACCCCCACCAGGCACCCTTGAAAATAGGAATGCACGCAGCCAATCCACTCATTCAGGAAATCGGTACTGAGCAACAGCTCTGCTACTGAACGGTGAGGTCTACAGAGGTTATTAGATTATTAGACATAATCTCAACCCCAGGAAGCCCCTTTTCAACTGGATTAAAGCAATATTTAGAAAGTAACATAAAAATTGTGATAACTATGGAAAACAATGGATTACTGGTGGTGTAGTGGTTACCCCTCAGGCTATGATCAGAAAGCTCCGCAGTTTGCAACCACCAGACACCGTGGGACAAACGTGGGACTTTCTAGGTCTGTACAGAGTTACAGTCTCAGAAACTACAGGGTCCATATGAGTTGGCATCAACTTGATAGCTGAAAGTCTCTCTCTTCTCAATACACCAAAGGAGGTCATCTGTAGGGTCCAGTCTTCATCCTTTTGGTCACTCTATATTTTGTGATCCTTGATAACCTTTCTTATGTCCAGGGTTCCAATCCTCAACGCTACAGATAAAACCCACACCTGCATTGCCAGCTCTGGACATTTTGTCAGTCTTCGACTTCTAGCTGTCTGCGGAACAACTACAGGTTCAAATGTCAAAAACATCAACTTCGTTTCCTGCTAAACCTATTTGCCTTTCATCTTTCTGTTCTTGGTCCTAACTGAAGTAGACATCAGTCATTCAACCTTCATAACCATCCAATTTCCCTTCTTCACCTCCCTTATAATATGATGCTCCCCAAATAGTCCCTTAACCCTCTTTCCTAAACCCTTAATTAATTAATTGCTTTTGGGAAAATAATTCCGTTTATGAACAGTAACGTTTACTTTTTTTGTTTGACCAAATTTCTAAAACTAGATTGAATTAATAACGAAGTGCCAATCATAGTCCTGGTAGCACTGTGGGTAAAGTGTTGTACTGTGAAACACAAAGTCAATGGTACAAACCCACTGGGTGCTGTTTGGGAGCAAGTTGAGGCTGTCGGCTTCCAGAATGACTTGCAACCTGTAAAACTCTACACAGAGCCACTGTGAGTTGGAATCAACTCAAGGGCAATGAATTTGTTCCTTTTTCTAAGTGCCAATTATGTGCATCTACCTGATTTTGTTTTTGCTTTTTCTTATTCTTATTTTGTGGTACTTTAGAATTATTCAAAATGGAAAGCAATAGTAACTATTCAAAAAACTCAGCATGAGAACCATGCCTTAATTTGAAATTCAATGTTATTTTCATTTTCAGTGAGATTGTTTTGCTTGCATCTCAATAACTCATTTGTTTGAATATTTAAGTTACCTTAGTACTCCTTGTTTTTTAAAAAATGTTTCACTAACCAATCATATATTTCTCAATCTCGACATATTACAGCAATTATAAATCCTCTTTCCCTCATCTTTTAGACTTTAAATAAAGTTGTGACATGTAATACTTACACATCAACCAGAATAAGCATGTCTTTCGGAGATGCAGCTCCTTGAATGTACCTGAAACAAACACCATTTAAACATTTTTTTTCCCCTAGTAAATCATCGCATAGAGAAACTGAGTGAATCTCTTCCTGATCTCTAATATAAGACCATTTCTTAGTAAAGACGTGCTTCCAATTTTGTCTCCATAGAATAGTGGTTCTCGACCTTCCCAATGCTGTGGCCCTTTAATACAGTTCCTTATGGTGTGGTGACCCCCAACCGTAACATTATTTTTGCTGCTACTTCGTAATTTTAATTTTGGTACTATTATCAATCGGGCGGCCCCTGTGAAAGGGCCATTGACACCCAAAGGGATCGTGACCCACAGCTTGAGAACCGCTGCCACAGACACTGCTCTTTCATTCACATTCTGTAGCAACTTGAAGAAAAAACAACCCACTGCATTTACTAGATGTAGAGATGTCCAGAGTCTAATATTTAAAATAGATTTTTTTCATTTTTTTAATGTTTAAGCATGCATTTTAATTCTAGCAGAAAGAAAAACTTGTGGAAGACATTTTATTTGAGAAAAAAGAAAAATTACCCCAAACTCCAATTTGTTGATGTCATTGAATGTTGCTCTAATGAATAACACATGATGTCAGTTTTTTAGAACAAAATAATAATCATAGATAAGTGGCCATGAACTTGTATCAAACACAGTAACTAGATATAGTGGATCACGAGGTGTTTTCACATAGAGCTCTATGCGATGCTATGCACAGCTCTCAAAGGTCGTCCTGTCAGAACTGGCCAAGAGGCAGTTCAGAATGCTGCTCCTCCAGGTCACCTCCAACCCTAGAGGATCAGGATCTCTGTGTTCTGAAGGGATTCTGCGAGAGCATATGCAGATGATTCTGGAGACAGACAAACTGAGACTGCCGGTGCGAGACCCAGAGCTCCTGTAGCGGGACACAGCGATCAACAGAGGCTGCCGTCCCAAAGGAAGGGGTGCACCTAAATTCTGGTCTCGGGTCAATTGGAGGTCTCTTTCTTCCATTGCTCCAGATGCTGCAGAGATTTTGAAGCACGTGTCACTTTGTTTTCAGACAATATCCAGCACAATTAGTATCATCCAAGGAAGATGTACTGTTGATATCTTACCTCCAAATTTGTTTCTCTCAATTGCACTAAAGGAAGGCAAAGCAGTAAGGCCTCAGAGATTGTCCCCTGGAAGGCAATCTCGTTTGCATCTAGCCTTGTAAACACTGGTGCTGCCATGCTTCTCAATGAGAAGATTAGAAGGCGGGTGTCAGTACCCCCATGGCACAACGGGTTAGGTGTGGGGCTGCTAACCACCAGGTCATCAGTTCAAACCGACCAGCTGCTATTGCCAAAGAGAGATGAGGATTTCTGCGCCTGTAACGGTGTACATAGTCTTTGAAGCCCTACAGAGGGTCACTCGAGTCAGAATTGACCTGATGGCAGTGGGATTCTTCTACTTGATACTCAGCTTCTAAGTTGTCCTCAGAACAACGACTTCCTGAACTCAAACCATATAATGCTGTGGCCTTTGCTCAATGACCGCCGGCTCCACTTCAGGAAGCTGGTGAAAACTAGCCATTACATCGAGTAGACCTTCCTGTCAACTAGACTGTTGCTAGGTGCGATGGAGTTGGTTGCAACCCTGTGCACAGCAGAATAAAGCCATGCCCGGCCGTGCCATCCTCACAATTGTTCCTATGCCTGTTGCAGCATGGCAATTACAGCTGGGATATTTATCCAAAAACAAAGACAAAATCTCTCACTGCTGTCAAGTCAATTCTAACTCATTGTGACATGAGCGGTCAGAGAAAATCTATCCAGAAGATGACTGACTGCCACATCTCTCTCTCCCGGAGAATGTGGGGAATTTGAACCACTGGCTGCCTTTTAGTGAGCAGCAGTGTACTCCTCTTGGGATGTTTAACAGGACACTCAAAAAGCCAGGTACATGCTTTTAAAATCAGCTTTGTGCTTCTCACAATTTGTACAAACTTAGGAAAAAGTCAGAAATAACCTAAAAGCCCAATAATAGGGGGTTTCTTAAATAAGTTAAACACATATTTATTCTTTTTAAATGTTGCTGATTAAGGGTGCCTCTTCTTACTCAAATACACTAAAAGGTATTTTCATGAAAGGTAGGTTTCAAAATAGTACTTGTGTATAATATGAACACACTAGGAAAAAAGATGCATCCATATCACATATGAGGTTTTAAAGCTCTCATTAAATACAGGTTTTCATAGTTGTTTCACAGTGACTGCAATTATGAGCTTCCCATTTTTTTGAGTGTCATGCTATGAAAAGTATTGCTTTAGTAGTGTGGAACAAATGATGTTTCTTTGGGGAAAGATAAAACCTAAACTGTACGACTCTTACCTAGGGGCCAGTTCTCATTAGTTCACTGCCAGAGGCAAACTACTTCCAACTGTGTCTAGTGGTTCGGTTAGAGCACTCCTGCAAGCAAACCCGGAGTCTTTCAGTAGCAATCCCCGGCAGCTAAAAAGACTTAGAGCTGACATTGGATATAACACTTAAAATAGCACATTTGAAATGATTTGGGTAAATCATTTCAAATACAATGTTATCATTCTCCCTTTGACTGCAACTATATTCTCCTTTAAGTAAATATTTATTTTTCAATATAACAAACACCAGAGTTCTTTAAGTTGGCAATATTCATTCTAATAATAAAATAGATTCACTCTAACTTAAAAACAAATCTTTCATCTGTTTCATCCCCCAAAGTACTTACCATGGTCTTCTGCGTACATCATAAAGGTCAATCTTATTCGAAGTCCTACTGTTATCAACCCATGGGGAAGCTAGAGGGAGGGAGTGAGGGAGAGAGAGAGATTAGTCAAAATAACAGATGTGTTCTACAAAGATAATGTAATGCCGATAAAATTATAAACATCATAGATACATAATTTCATTTATCTATCCAACCAAATCCCAAATCAAGACTCTATAGGAAAGAGTAGAACTGTCCATTTAAGTTTCCAAGGCTGTAAATTTTACCTGGGCAGAAAGCTTCATGAACCTGACTGCTGGTTTTGAACCGCAGACCTAGTGATTAGCAGCCCAGTAATAACTCACCGGGCCACCAAAACACTCCTTCATTTATTAACAGCAGTGTAAAAAGTATAATTTCAATTGTTCTCTTTCTTAAAGTTGAAAAGAACGTAGCACTCAAAAAAGAATCAGTGTAAATCAATTATCTCACATTATCCCAGAAATACATTTTACACCATAGGTTTTTTACGGGGTGATCACATGGTTGATTTACCAGTGTTTACCAGAGGCAAGTGTTTACACATTTTTTTTTTCCATCTCTAGTAAATACTTCAGGAGAAGTTTTATTTTCCACTAATAGAAATAGTGCTTTCAATCATTTAATGCTTATATTGACATAAAACCACACTGTCTTGGTCTGTATATAAGAAGTGATGTTTTGCTTGGATGGGGATTGTTCCATGTAATAGTTCAAATTTGAATCTTAATAGGCACATATTTGATAAAGATGATCCCTGATAGTTCAGTGGGTTAAATGTTAGGCTGATAATCAAAATGAAAAGTCAATAGTCACACTTGGAAAAAAATGAAGTTGTTTCCACCCATAAAGATTTATAGTCTTGAAAACTCTAAGGGGCATTCCTATTGGGTCAATGTGACTTAGGTTGGGTTTGTTGTTTTCAGTTTGATTAAGACCATCCCACACTAAAGTTATAATTAAAAAGTTAAACCATTTTTATGAAAACTCAATACAAATGATTTATCTTATATTTGCAGTATATCAGGTAATTCAAATACAAATTCATAATATTTCTTATTTTGTAGCAATGATAAAATAGAATTCAATTGTACAAATTGAATTTGAAATTTGAAATTCAATTAATTAACTTATTGTGATTAAATCTATTCTCTTTTTAATTAAAATTATTTACAACACATCCAAGCACAACCCAATGGGGAAAAAATTAGCAAAAGCTGATACACTAGATGATATTTTTATGTGTAAGAAGTTCCAATCACTGAACATGATTAGTTTTATTCTTCTTGGGAAATTCTCACTAATTATTTGAATAACTTTGCATCATAGTCAAACTTGCCTTTTTATTGAAAAAAAGATAAAGAGAAATTTACTAAGGCTTTATGTCGATAAGTTATTTGATTTGAATCGTACCTCTAAAAACCGTTTCCTGGTGCTTGTACCCATAAGTTTGATTCAATTTGGAAAGTGCTCAGTTGTCGTTTCAAGATGTTAACGAGGCGAGACCAGATTAACATGGATCCTAAGTCTCAGCACTTATGAGTTCTTGCAAGGCAAGAAGAGGCACAGACACACACACACACACACACACACACACACACACACACACACACCTGAGGCAGGACCGTGTGAGCAACAACACAAGTCAAAGACCGCCAGGTAATCAAGAAAGGCACTGACATGGCTAAGACCATAATTTGGACTCAGCCTCCAAAATTATTAGAAAGAAAGTCTGCCTTCTGTAAGACAACTTTCTTGTGTGTGTATTTGTTTTGGGCCAGCAATAAGTAACTAAGACATTTGTCAACTGAAACGATTTAACCAATTAGGATTTGTGGAAATATATAAATTAATACGCCTTCCTTTGACTGTGATTGTTTTTCAGCGTATCAGTGGCTCTTGTGAGGTGCTGGATGATTGGTTTTTGAATCATGGACAATCAATGAAAACACTGCTTTGCCCTTGGCAGAATGGTTGTTATGTTGGGTCCCTGCGTTGTGGCCTCTGTGTCCACCCACCTCCTTGCGGTTCCCTTTTCCTGCTGATCCTCCACCAAGCAGGACGTCCTTCGCTAGGACTGGTCTCTCCTGACGGAAAGTTTCACCACCCCTGCTTCTAGGAACATGCTAGCTGCACTTCACTTTTAAATTAGTGATGACAGTCCAACGTAATCAATTCATTTATAATGACTAAGCATCGTTACATACAGCAGTAAGTTCGAACATAGCAGTTCCGCAACAACATTCACTGATATAGTCAAAACTACTGAAATGGTAAATCTTCTTTAATACTTGCAATTCACATTTGCAGACCCAGGGAGTCTTCCTACCTTCTAAAATCAGATGAGAATGCTAGAAAACATCAACTCTTCACTTTCAATCACCCCTCCACAACACCAGACTGTCTACATCTTGGTAATAACTAAATTTTAAAATAAATTGCATTCTCCTTTCAAGAGCCCTCGTGGTGTAGTGAGTTAGTTAAGTATTCTGCTGCTAACCTCAAGAGGAGCCGTTAGAAACCAGTAGCCTCCCAGAGGCGGAACGATGGCACTGCTCCTGCGGAGATGCACAGCCTCCGAAAACCAACTCTGTCTGGAGGGTCTCCAGGGGTCGGGATGGACTGATGGAAGTGAGCTATGTGCTACTTTCAGTACACGGTTCTGCGGGACATATACTGACTACTGCATCTCAGCTCCAAACGCACCTCTTTTGTCTGATCTGTGAAAAGTGAATTTGTCCCTTTTAAATATTTTGTCTCCACCAGATGGAAAGGTATTGAGTGAGAACAGACTTTTAGCGTCGGCTTCAGAAGGGTCTTGCCTCATGTGCAGCTTTTTGGGTGTCCAGCTTTTGCAGTGCACATGCATGTCCCAGTTTCCCAGACCTCTGCTCCTATAGTGCTTGCTGCTTGCCCGAGCCCCGCTTCAGCAACACAGTGGCTTCTATTACTAGTCTGGCAGTGCACCTCTTGGTCAGCCCCTCTCTACCGGGGGGGAAATGCTTGCATTGAAGAGGCGCCGATAGGACACCTTGAGGCCTCGATTTCCAGCAAGTTTTACCAACGTGACACCAAAGCTCCTTCTCTGTCATTCAACAAATTGTTGTTCGCTGCTACAGAACTATCCCCTGACTTGTTCTCCAATCCAGGGCAATCCTATGCACAGGGGAATAAAATGCTTCCTGGTCAGGTGTCGTCCCATGATCAACTGTGGATCCAACCTTGGGGATTCCCACGGCTTTCATTGGCTGAATTGTAGCAGTAAACCATCAGGTCATTCTTCTTCTTCACCCATCTCTGTCCAGAAGCGCAGATGAAATCTGTTCAGCATCCTAGCAACCCCCACACCACGGCTGACAGACAGACAACTGGTGCGAAGCACCGAGTGGGAACCACAATAAGTGAGGACTGTAGTGTGGACTGCCTTCCTAGTCCTTTGCATAGTGATTATGATATATGAACATATATATTATTATGTTATTCTATGTTCTTAGCCTTCTCATCCTTCTTCTCTGTATGCCCCATTTCTCCATTTCTGGTTATAATTATTGATTTGTTAAAGTAAAATTTCCAGTTTTTAAATATTGTGTTTTATTTCTCTTGTTTGGATCCAGACTGAGAGAACGGCACAGGTGATGTAAGACATGGAGATCCATTACCACTGTAAACAGTTACCGCCTCAGAAACCCACAAGGGGGGAGGGGTCACGAGGCGTCAGCATGGACTCAATAGCCGCATAATACATTGGAATTTGAAAATGTTTAGGTTTCTCAGTTCTTTATAAATTGCATTGATCTAGTTTTTCTCATTTCAGTATTACTAATTGAAATTAACTGTGATATGTACTTCCTTAGACCTTTATATTTGGCCTTTCTTTAAAAACATGAAATGGGACTTTAATTTACACAACATGAATCATTAAATTTTAATATAGTTTATAATCTTAGATGATTTATATCTTAAATAATATTGTCTCAATATTTTCAGAGATATTTACTATGATAATATCCCCTTGATTATCCTAAACCATGATATTTATGTTATGAGAAAATACAATATAATTTCTTTTGTTATTACTAATTAATATCTTGTAAAATCTCAATGTGGCATTTAAATGGTACATTATTTATATAGGCAGTGCATTCCTGAACGTCATCATTAAAGGTACTATTGATTATTAATGAGGATACTTTCCCCTAGTCAAACATTAACTGTGGTCATGTTTTTTTACTAAACTTACTAGACTTCAATTGTACTTCCTGTGATTTTATCAAATGATCGATTTAATAAATTGCTTATCTATTAACTCTGAGCAGTCAAACATGAGGTAGAAAAATATTTGCAGTAATTCCCCGATGTGACAGGCATTTTCTACTTAATATGACATCAGAATGGTAGCCGAGTAGCGTTTATGAGTTGGGCTGCTATCCGGTCAGCAGTTCGAAATCACGAGAGACAGACGAGGCGTTCTACTCCCGTCGAGTTACAGCCTCACACGCGCAGGGGCAGTTCCACCCTGTCCTGGGGGGTGGGGGGCACGAATAGGCATCGACGCCAAGGCAGTGCGTTCTCAAGAAGGAATGAAGCGAATAAGGATGCACCGAGGAACGGTTCTAGGTCCAGTCATTTCAAATAGTTATTTGCTTTTCCAATTAACACGGTCAAATGCACTTTTCTAATTGCAAAGCCTCCGAATATTTAGTTTCATCTTTTTAATTCAAGAGTTTCTTTTTAAATCCTACTTAATTATAAATTCGACATCAGATCCCTATGATGCAAAGCTTCCCTACATGTTTCTCCTCCTAATCCCTACAAAGACTTCTGAGAGCATCATATTCCAGGCACACAATGTCGGCAGCATTTTGTCTATTCATTAAATTGCAAACATAAATCTGATCATCAAGTCCACATAACCCGCCATTCATAAACTTGTAATCTGATACCATTCCTTTGTGGTAAGGAACACACTGGATTTGCTGGACTCCCAGGCCTTAGACAGTGCTTGTTGTTTGCCTGTGTTTTATTTGATGCTTTCCGTTTGGATTTTCTATTTCATTGGCTTTATATGCAATCCAAAATTTAAAAATCTCTCCTATGGCATTAGCCTAGAATTATGACTTCTTTTTCAAAATTTCTGTTGGGAATTTTTTGCCATAGCCTGTCTAGTTCATTTGATATTTAATGATGTGTATTGTGAAATACAAATTTCCTGGCAGCCGGAAACCACAGATCTTGCACACAGAACACAGACTTGTCACAGTCAACATGGATGCCGAGTGCGTGTGCTGGCGTCTCTTCTCACGCGCTGATTTAGGAACCCAGCCCTGCTCTCCTGGTTCTTCTCTGGGCACATGGCCCTCCGACCATAAGACTAACCCGTGGGCAACATCACAGAAGAGGACGTGCCTGGAGAACATCCAGGAAGCACCCTTAAAAGGAGAGGGATCCTCTCTTCAGGACCAGTGGTGAGAGTGGTGATACTTTGAGGGTGGAGGGAGGGTGAGGTAGAAAGGGGGAAACGATTACAAAGATCTACATATAACCTCCTCCCTGGGGGACGGACAACAGAAAAATGAGTGATGGGAGATAGTATAAGATATGACAAAATAATAATTTATAAATTATCAAGGGTTCATGAGGGAGGGGGAATCAGGGAGGGAGGGGAAAAATGAGGAGCTGATGCCAGGGCTTAAATAAGTGGAGAGTAAATGTTTTGAGAATGATGAGGGCAATGAATGTACAAATGTGCTTTACACAATTGATACATGTATGGATTGTGATAAGAGTTGTATAAGTCCCTAATAAAACGATTAAAAAAAAGAGCGAGGGCTCGTGCTCTGTTCCTGAGGGCAGAATGCAAGGAGCAAGAGTGCACCCTAAGGTGGAAGTCACAACGAATGGCAGAGCAGCAAGTGGTATCTGTGGACTGTGACCACTTTGAGGTGTCTCTCCACTGCCTTCACACTATAGAATGCACATTAGCCAGATGTGTGTGAGAAAGAAATGTCCACAGTGTTTGTTACTGTTTTTATAGAGTTTCTATACTTGGGAAATCAACTGGCATCAAGTCGATTCCAACTCACAGCCACCTGATCCAGGATTTCCAGGACTGTAACTCTTACAAGAGCAGACAGCTTAACCCAGCGGTTCTCAACCTGTGGGTCGTGACCCTTTGGGGGTCGAATGACCCTTTCGCAGGGGTCCCCCAATTCATAACAGGAGCAAAATTGGTTCTTCTTGAAAGATACCAGACATATTTTAAGGTAATTGATCATTGAAAGTGGTGCCACTATAAAGAATATGGATATTGAAATGTCATTATTGTTGTTAGCTACTATAGAGTTAACATTAATTCCTGGTGACCTTACATACAGGTCCCCCCTACATTCTTGTGACATCCTCACAATCTTTAGCATCTTCTGCTCTCATGCATTGCTCTCTCGGTTGTGCCAGCTCATCTCACTGGGGGACTCCTTTGCCCTCACTGGCCTTCAACTTCACCTCCTGCAGAGATGGATTCTAACTGCCGTCTTTACAACAAGTAAGTTGGGTAATGTTCGGTGGTGATCCAGAAGTTTTCATTGGCTAATGTTCTGAATTCGATCATAAGGCCTTTCTTCTAGTATGTCTTTGTCTGGTAACTCTGCTGAACCCAATTCACCAAGGTGGCCCTCCTATTCGACATACTGGTAATATTGCTTCCAGGGTCAAAGGAACACACAAGCCAACACAGTAAGATAAACTGACAAGGTGGTAGGATGTTTAATTGTTACCACTTTTTTCCCCCATAGTGGCTAGAAAGATATCAAATGTTCTCTTCATGTTGAAACTATTCAAACTTTTGGATTTTCTTATCATATTCTATTTGATACTTAAAATATTGTTAATCTACAACCCAAAACAATCAGCTGCCCTAGTGGGGGGAAAAAAGGAGCACAAGGTGCAGTGTCAACGAGCTCTTTTGTGTTTCGTTCAAGCACAATGCTAGCAGACAGAATAACAAGTAAATACTCTTAGAGTATTTAAAACGAACTCAAGAAATAATGGGTATCTTTATTGTTATTTTATGATTTTGAAATGAACAAATGAGGAGAGGCTGAAGAAGGAACAAATGGTTAAAAGACATTGAGTAAATGTCATACGCAGATGAAGTAAATCTTAAGTATTTTTTGTTCTTCTTTGCTTTTAAGGCAACTAATTATCTAAAAAGAGTAAGTGCTGTCTACATTGACATTTCAATGAGCTACTGATTCCTAATTACAAACCCAATTACTGCAGTAAATGGGACAATTTTAGGAGACATTAATAGGTGAAATAAGTAGTTTATATCTTTAGTTTCTATGATGCATACGAGTCACCAAAATTTATAGCTTTGAAACTAGGTTTAATAGCTTTAAAGTTATTGTGTATATGCGTAAAGAGGGCTTCTAAAGCAAAGCATCATCAGTTACATAGATTTTCTGAGAAACACACTGACTAGAGTGGACCCACTAGGCACTGGTTGCAGGTAGAGCCTTGCCATCCGTGTGACTCATGGATGACCGGGGAAAGTCACGTTCATCCAGCAAAGCCGACTGTAGACCTTGCTAACACTGCGATCATTCCCCGAAAGTCCCTCTCAGTTCTCCAGTGTGCCTCACAGCTTGGTCCATTTTGAGCTGTGGGAGCTTTTCCTCAGTGTTGTTTCAGAACTTTTTAAGTAAGTTCACATTTCAGCTGTGTTTCTCAGGACATCTGGTCATGGTGCCACTTCAGGCTGGCCAGATTGGAGGTACCAATTAGTCCAGTTATTTTGTCAGGTGCTTTGATCTAAAGCAATGTTGATGACTATACAACGGGGGTGAGGAACATCGCATTCATGGGCCATAGAAGGACACAGAGGGACATTCTTTCTGTACGAAGCAGTGTGCTACGACTGCCTTCCTTACATCCTAGGGGAAGGTGATAGAGTGCTCTCAAGAAACACTAAAGTCCACACTCTCATTAGACACCTATTGAATAAAAAGCACTTACCTGGATAGTACCTGGCTAGGCCCGTGGCACTGCCAAACACCTGCCACAGCAATGTGGGGTCTTCCTCCCGATTTTTCTTGAAAACTTCATCTAAGGCACTGGTCCAGTTTAGCTCATTTAACACAATTGTTGCTAACAAAATGAAAAAGTGAAAGGAAAAAAAAGAAAGAAAGTTCAATTAGTTAACCTTTATAATTAACAATACAATCTGCCTGCATTTACATGTAAAATAATAATAAACCCTTGGGTCGATTTACCTATTGAACTACTCTAAACCCATGGCTATCCAAATGTTTAGACGTGAAAGTATTTCCTCAATAAAAATTGTGATGATGTTGTTTACGATGGTGTCCCTGTTGACAATATGGGTGGGCAATTCTTTGTTGCGGGGGCTGTCATATGCATTGTAGGATGTTCAGCGGCAGTTCTAGCCTCTATCCACTAGATGCCAGTACTATTCCTATAGCTGTGAGAAGCGACATTGCCCTGGGTCCCTGGGGCACAGAAACACTCCTGGTGGAGGTCCATAGCACACAGCAGAGATCTCCTGACGGATCAGGGCTCGATGATTCGCTCCTTTCTCCTTAGAGGTAATTCTGAGGAAACTTACAGAACAGCTTGATGTACACTTTGATAACCAAAAACCTCAGCTTTGTGATTTACTAATGTAAGATGGCCTATTACTTCAGTTAGAATATTTGCCGTTGATCATACCTTATTGACAGTGCCCTTACAAAACAACAACAAAACACATATTTTGACAAGGGAACAGGCTTGACAATATCTGGGTGTGAAATAGAAACTCTGACATCTTATCAATGACTTTATGAAATACAGTTAGTTTGTTTTTTCTCTTTTCTGGTTAATTCAATAAATAACTAAAGCATGATGTTCATAGGTCATTCATTTGATAGTTGTTTATAATTACTGATTGAGTCTGGCTAAAGATTACAAATAATGCCACTCAGCACAAAGAAAGAGAAGCAAATGTAATTTTGGATGTAATATGAGCTAAATAGTGCAAAATTCAAAATTAGGTATCTCCATAATCTAACATATTGAATTTTTAATTAGCTTTCAATATTATATTCACTTCACACAAGAGATGAAATAGATAATCTCATTTTTTCATATTTAATAAAGTTCCATGCTGCCAGCAGATTATCAGATTCAGACAGTCTGCATTTGAAATTATCTATGGCAAACTTGAATGTTGGAAACATCTTAGGATAAAAATGGACATTGTTGTTTAATGTTCTTCTATTCGTTTTGTGGCCACAGCACATAAGGAAACATTAAACACCTGGGCAGGCCATTCACAAGACTTTCTAGCAGTAGAGGAAAAAGGAGAAACAACAAAAGATGCAGAGTGCATGCGGTTTTGTTTCAAAGGGTATAATTTCCAAGAAAAGGAAAGCAGTGACACAAGAGGATTGTCCCACTGCTAGGGGACCGGCATCTTCATGCTGCTCTCATCACTGATAACTAACAAGGTTTTCATGTTTGTGGGTGTGATTACTTTCAGAGAGATCAGTGTGGATGTGTGAATATTCATGAGCTGGCTCAGGTCCATGGTGAATCTGAGAAACTAGTGAATTCATATTCAAAGGCATGATCCAATAAACATCAAGTGGCCAGTTATATAAAAATTTATATTCACAAAGATAACTGGAACTGATACTCACTATTCATGAATATTTATATTAATACACAAAATATCAGAAAAAGGACGTTTTCCTTTTCTTTAAACATTCATGAATTTATAATATCATAGCAAATAGATAATGATGCTCATTTATGATCAAAATAGATTTCATTAATATCCAAACTATTTTATCTTTTCGATTTCCTTGACTCTTAATCCATGTTGAGTAACAACTAACATCTAATTAATTTTATTAAAGCTGCATTTGGTTCAGAGCCTCGTTTTTCTTTATCTAATACCTTATCAACCACTAAGTATCAATCAGGTTCTAATATGCTGATTATGAATTATGAACATTGTATTATAATATGAATATATATTTTTTGCATTTTGTATTTTTTTGAAAATTATCTTTTCCAGATCAGATAAGCTTAGGTTGATATTAAAATGGTTTCCTTAAAGTGTATTTGTTTATAAGTGAGCAAAGCGCATTTTTAAAAATTCAAAATAATCACTTAACACACTTTAAATTTCACTAAAAATGGTATGGTCTGCCTATCAGGTTGGCAACATTTATAAAGTCTGAGAATAGTAGGCGGCAGTCTGTCAGAGTAAAGAAAGCTACTTCCATGTCTCAATGTACCATTACAATGATTTTTGAATGTGTCCATTATTCTATAAGCCACCATCTTTATCTGTAAAGCTGTTTGTATAGCTATAGCCAGAAATCAAAATTCAAAAACTTAGGTTGTGAAACAAAATGAGTTCAACCTGTTGCCCAAATGCTGAATCTTTGAAATCTACTCTTATCTGTGTATCTATCATATGTACAATTGATTCAAATCAAACTCCTGAGGGGGCTAGCCATCAGGATCACGATTACTGGTTGGTATAGGGAATGGCGGTTGCCAAAGTTTGAGAGAAAGCTTCTTTGGTGTTGGTGATAATGTGCTAGTGATATTGGTCTTCCAGTTATTTGCTGGGGTATATTCATTTTGCAGTGTACAATCCTGTACACACAGAATTTTTGATATTTAGCATTTTAAGTTGTATTTCAATAAAAAGCTTGAAAGTGTGTATTGAACTTAAAATGAGCACAGTCTTTAATCCCAAACTCTCACATCCCTGTGAATAGACCATGGTACCCTGGTCCTTATCAAATAATTTTAAACTCAGATGCATTTACTCAATTATTCTTTTCCAAACCCTTAAAATATGAAAAAGAGAAAAAATTGTTGCCCTAGGAAAAATGTTTCTCCAAAATTACATTGAAAGCTGCAATAAGAGGAAAGAAAAAAAATTGTAGCATAACCAAAATATTATTCCAGCCCTTCTGTGGTCATTTGGGTACGTTTTCTGATTAACATTATGAATTATATGTTACTGATAGACATTGTTCTTATTTTCATATCCTGAAATGAACAGACTTGTTTCCTCCTTATCCTTGTAAAATTAAGCAGCCGATCCACAATGACTAAGGTGTCCAACCAGCCCCCAATTTCATGTTCCTGGATGAAACTTACAGTCTCAGAAACGCACAGGGGCAGGTCTCTCCTGGTCTCCACCCTATTAGTCAGGATCAACTCGAGGGTAGTTATTGAGTTATGCGACATAACTTGGGATACACAGTGCTGAAATAATTGAGCAATATGCTGAAGAAAGAATAAAACTAATGCAAAATACCTGCCTTTCAAAACTATTTATCCCATTTCCTGGATCGGAGTCTCCTCCTCTACCACTTCCATTAGCTCTTTACACACATACAAGAATAATCGCTTATTCTCTCATTTTACGTTCCCACTTAAACCTGTAAGTAGAGTTTATTTAGGAGATTTTATTTTAGTAACTATTTTGACTATAACTGAGTAAAAGTCCCCATGCATTAGGAAAGCAAAAACTTGTGATTAGGAGGTTTTTGTGGGAGTTTATGTAGTTCAGATTGTGCCTTTTTGTTTTTTATCTCCAGTAAATATGTTTAGTCATTCCTATTTTCCTGACACTACCATACCTTAAGTAAAATATACAAAATATAGCAAATGAATTTCTATTTTTGGGATAAAATAAAGCAGGACCAACTTCCTCAGAAAACGAGTTATTTTGAGCAAATGTTAGCCTGGTTTTATGAAATGGTACCGTGTCTGCATTCAAGTACAGACCACTTTGATAATAATAATGGTACTCTAACTCACTAAAATGCTCACCATATTATAAAGATGTTTTGATCTGTCACTACATATTTAAAGATTTCTTAAGTGCAATCATTATTTTATATGTCACAAGTTATATTTCAATGAACAAAGGAAGATATCAAAACTTAAAGGGTTTTATTTTTACCACTTATTTGCACAAATTTTACCTTTTAATTGTATATATTCATTTAAGAAAGAGCTATGCATTTCTAGAAAGTTTGTATTTTAATATTGTTTTGTGTTTTGGATTTTCAATCATCTATTATATAAATATATCCATGCTGATCTTCTCTTCCTCCCCTCCACTCGTATTGTTTTACTATATTAGTAATACTATATTAGTAGTGTTATACGTTACGTTTTTCTAATGCACTGCTTGAACTGATGCTAGATAGACAAGAGTGCCTCTTAGGTTCTTAAATAGATGACGACAACCTAGTTCAAAGCCAAGCTAGCCTTGAACTTAGCCAGATACTTTACAAAGACTTTAAGAGTAGGAGTCCTCATTTTCCATCATTTAAAAAAAATATATCTTCATCTCGGTTAGAAAAATAGTAGATTAAAAATAAATCTTTTATAGATGGTCCAAGGCCAGTCCTACTGAAAACAATGAGTACTGGGAAGGAAACCTTGACTCTGGGACCTCTCTTCTGAATAACAGGGCTTCACTGAAAATTGATTCAGAATACCAGGCATGCATCTCTATTCTCCTTATATTTCGTTTTCAAAAACATGGCCTTGGTTTTCAGCAATTCTCTTCTTTTAGAGTACTCTATTGTTCAGCCTGGCTTCTTAATGTAAGAAAGGAAAATCTAATTTGTAACAACACAAAAGAAGTGCCTTACAGTTGGTGCTAATTCTTCTAAAATGCATGGTTCATAGAGCTGTATCTTGCTTATGATACAGAATGCAGCATCCTTGACAAGCTCTGAATCCAATTTTCTTCTGCAAACTACAACCGATAAAATGTTACTCTATTGCTCCCTTTTAAATTGTGTTTGAATATATTTTGTTGATTTATTCAGGGTTTAGAACTTCACCATGCATCAAAGGCACTATATAACTTTATATGAAAAAATTTAAGGTTATTTATAATCTCAAAAAATGTTAACTACTCCATTTTCTTGGGACAGATATATTAAGATACCAGAGGAAACCCATTTGTTATTTCCTTAAAATATAAAATGAATTTGATGCACATATAAAATATTATGACTGATAGATATTAAAGCTCTTTAAGAAGATGGATATTAATCTTTTCTGTTTAACAATGTTAAATATCATACAGTTAAAGTAAT